AGTACTCTGAATTAAATGGGGAAAAGTTTGTTGTAAGTTACAATTTTCTATTTGGAAGAGAGATATCCTAATATGCTTAACCGGTAGCTGTTATTCCCCATTAAGAACACTTTTTTTTTTCCTAGGAAATCTATAAAGTTCAAAAGAAAAGACAGAGTTGTTAAAGGCACAACTTAGACATGGTGGCTTATGGTCATATATATTACCATATACCTTTAACTGTGTTATTTTTTAAAAAGAAAAAAGTTTAAAGTTTCTGAGAATTCAAAATGTCAGTATTTCTAAGTATCTTACATGCTTGCAGTATGGAAAAAGTTATATTGTTGATAATCCTAAGGATGCAAGTACTGAGGTTTTAATAATTACTTTTAAATAAATAGAAAAGACCTCACATTCAGTTCACAGTTATTTCCTTTGTTCCTTCTCACTTCTTATCCCTATAATTACTTAATTATACAGCTGTAGACCGGAATAATATTGAATGAGGCTTTGGTACAAGAGCAAAATATTCTAGTATAAGCTAAAAGACTTGTGGGAGGGAGGAAAAGGTTGTGATCCTATGAATAGCTCTCTTATTAAGGTAAGTATATTCTAAACTAACACATTGTTATCAAAATTAGAGGTACTTGCTTCCCAGGATAGTTATTAGGTTTAAATTCAGTGGTCCAGAAGCAGGTTGTTTCAAGATTTTCCCTTAAACTTCCCTTTCTCAAGGCAACAGTATGTCTTCAGCAATGACCTGAAGCTATGTTTTCACTGAAGAAAGGGTGCATTTCTCAGATGAATTTCTTACTTTGGGGTAAAGCAGCCTGTTTGAGCTATTCCAAGATTTAAAAAAAAAAAAAAAGAGAAAATGGTCAAAAAAGAACAGTATGTAAATAGTATGGAATGTAGGGACCGTACTGTGTACTTTTTTACATTTAGAAGTATGAAAGTAAATTTCTTGGTTTTACCCACATTTTTTCACCTCAGGAGCATGCTCATGAAACCTAAAATTTATACAAACTGTGGGAGTTAAGCTCTTTTACCAGCATATTTATTGTTTAAGCAGTTGATGTTTTTTTGCTTTGGTTTTGGTTTTACACCTTTTTAAAATTTATTATTGAAGCAGTGCCAGAAGTTATACAAATATAAATTTATGCATACACTTCAATGTACACATCTTCTCTTTTTTTGGCATGTGCACCCGTACTGGTGTCCTTGTAGTGCTTAAACATACGAAAAACAGACAAATCCCCAATGCCCTTGAAAAAGGCAATGGTGTAATAGGGATGTATGAATGTTCATCATCACCAAAATTATTTTAGGCTTTTTCTTTTCTGAAACATGTACTTTCTTCTCAGGCCCCCAACACACTCAGCTTTTTCCAGCCTTAATGTTATCTTGAGCGATGCTTGTTTTTCCTGTCTGTTCTCTGAAAGGATTTCCTTTTTGTGGTTTAAACACACCCCAGCCGCTTCTTCTTTTTACCCCTCCCCTTTACCTTTCCTCCTCTAGTTATGTGCTCTCATCTTCTCCCTTTTAATGAATAACTCCACCCCAGAACCTCCAAGGGAGTTAATGCTTAATTGGAGCTATCTATTATGTTTTCCCCATACATGTAACAGTTCAGCTTTTTTATGGTACTTCTAAAAATATCACGATAAAATAAAACGTGACCTGCTAGCCTAATGATAAAAATTGCTATTATATTAACATTATATATTATAATATTATTATAAATTGATATTATATTATCATGATAAAACATTTGAACATATTTGACTAAATTTAAAAGAAAAGTAGGAGAAAGACTTCTGTGTTAACATGCCTTATAATTGTACCTACACAGTATGACTATTGCCATATTTTGCTTCAGACTGGTCCCCTATATCTTGCAATAACATTTTCATTTAATTTAATGAATCAGCATTGCTAACAAGATTCCATTTGATATGTCTCAGGATTTTTTGGGTGTAGAATACCAGCATGTTTTCAAACAAGAAAAATCTTTCTCTTTTGTAGCAGAAATATACTTACAAAACCATCCATAGCCCATTTTTCCTCTTTCAACTTGCTCACAGATGTATGTGAGGGTGCTTTAATGAGATATATGTGAAGCATTAGCCGAGCTTCCTGGCTTTTATACACTCCTGTAGAATATAGTTTTAAAAATTTATATTTGTGTTGAACAGAGAAATAATTTAACCTTTAAGAATAAGCATTTAATTTCCCGCCTTAAAAAGGGAAAGCAGAAAGAACAGGTAACATTTTTACCAACATTATAATTTAGCAAGATGCATTCTTCTGTAAAATTATTTCAGTTATCATAGAATTCCAATAGAAACTGGCTTTAGCTTAGCTTGTAGAGAGGACAGAAGAGAAACCCTATACACACAGCTGTTAATTAACAGTTAAAGTAATAAACCTTAGACAGAACAAACATTGACAGTAATATGATTTGAGATGGAAAATACTATTCTGAATCAGACAGTGTATTTGAACCTCGCATCCCCACTTTCAATATTTGTAATTTAGTTATCAGCTAAAGAAGTTACCAGGTAAACATAAGAGGAACACCCACATGTAAATTATTTTCCAA